TTTGTTTGGACATAGGTTAATATGCTTAATGCCAGTAATGTCGATCTATGATAAAATGGTAAAATATATTTTTTAACAAATCCATAAATCCTTTCAATAGTGTTAAACTATGCAAAATTGATACTTTGACACCCTGTAACTTTGAAACGGAGAATTTCCGAAACGAAAGGCTTGACAAAGGGTCATATCTGACCCATTAGAATATTTTAAGCACAAAAAAAGTTCAAGATTGTCGTAGGACCGACCATGCATCCCTTGTTAGACTAATTTCTGAATAAGTCAATTTCATATTAGCCAACTGATCATTCAAATTAAACTTAACTTAGATGATAGGATCTTGTATTCAAGGGATGATGTTTTATTTTTGTTATTTCGTAAATTTATTGATTTGTGAATAAAGATCCAAAGAGTTGTAATAACATACAGTTAGTACATTCTTTATATTATATCGGATAGAAAGGTGAAAGGTGCAAAAGGTCAAAAAAATTTCGCTATAAAGGGTCAGAATAAAATAATTGCTTTTGTGAAAACACATTGTTCAAAAACATCTTATGTATTCATTCATTGATTTGTTGAAGGATGACGCGAATGATGCTGCTTCTGGTAATGAAGGAATCATTAAAGTTAACACATCCTAACCTGAATTTTGAAAAGAAACGTTGAAAGGCCTTTTTTCCGGTGAAACCTTGACTAAAAATGAATGAACGAAAGTGATGTTTCAACCGTAAAATAATAAAACAAATGAAATTTAAATCAAATTGTAAGAACTTTTGTTATATTGAATAATATTGCCTCTATTTTGCCTATCATAAAGAATGTTGAAATTGATGACAAATTGAAAGAAAAGTCCATCAAATAATTCTGCTTAATTAATTGTTTTTTTTCTTTCCCCAAGAATAAAATTAAGTCTTGATTTAATTGTTTCCATGATCAATCGGATCAATGGCTATCTTTTGTCGTTAGATTAGATGAATTGTCCGAAAACAATCAGAGTTTTAACGAGTAAAGAATGAAGCCTGAGTGAGATTAAATTTCCTGATTACTTAAAGAGCGGACATTTGTCAAATACATCTCACTCGGGACTTGATTGTGGTCTTAAGTCGTTGAACATTCATCTATTTGGAAGTATAAAAGTTAAATCGCCATAAACATCACCAAGCCAATTTATTTAATCCATCTTATATAACTTGTGATTCCTTAATCTAAATGGTTATAGCTCAACAATCTTTATAAACCAATATGTTCTTCACCATAAGTTTTGTTTTTAGTTTTCTGTTGTCTTTTTACGTATCATATGTTTATCCTTCTGGAGGAACTTCGGATGTTTATCACAAACAAGATGGTAACGGTGGTTATGCCTTCGGTTATGATATCAATGATCCTTGGGGTGCAACTAATTTCCGAGAAGAGTCTGGACAGTTTGATGCTTGGGGTGGTGGAGCTGTGATTGGTTCTTATGGATTGATGGATGTTGATGGACGTAAACGTATTGTTCAGTATTCAGCAGATAAAAACGGTTTTGTTGCTTTCATCAAGACAAACGAGAAAGGAACCAGTGATGAAGATGCTGCTGATGCTTATTACAATGGAGTGGATAAAAGTCATGGCAAATGGTTGTATGACTTTTCGATAAAACATGATAAAGGTTGGGGTGATTCCTGGGATCCTTGGGGTAAATCTGATAAAGGAAAGAAGAAAGATTATGGTTGGGGAGCTTCTGAGAGACATGAAGTTCGAGTTCCACAAAAAGGAGAAACTGGACAGTTATACGAGGATCCAGATACAAATATTCTTTATAAAGCAATCGATGATCAACATGTTGTTCCTTTTGGGCGACGTTACCAAGCCAATTCTGATAAAAATACTGCTATTTCTAAACCTATTTCTGGTAAACAAGGTAAATCCCGATAAAGAGCTAGCCTCTGTACATTATAATGTAATATTATCGAAGAAATAAATTATTAAGGAAAAAAACAGATTCATTTTAAAAATTTACTCTCAAAAATTTCGGTTAAAATAAGAGATATAATAATTCTCCCAATGATTCTTTTTGTTGAGTAAAGTTAATCTCTTTATATTAATTTTTTTCGTATAAATTCAGTATATTTAGCTAATTTAACTATTGATTTACAAAAAGGCAACAACCTATGGCAATACACGAAAGAGTGCATGTGAAAATCCAATTAACTAATAGTTTTATATTGATGTTGATTTTGGTCCCAAGATTACATGATTTGGAAGTCACAGATTAAATGCGTCCAAGTTCTTTCAATTTTCCTAATAGTTCATCGACATCTTTGACCTTTGAACCTGCTTCACGAACTGGAGGTTCTTCAACAGATAAGACTTCAATACGAGGTGTAATGTCGACTCCTAGATCAGCCGGTGTTTTTTTCTCGATTGGTTTCTTCTTTGCTTTCTGATGAGAGATAAAGATGAAAAGATTTTTAGATTATATTAGATATATAAAGATAATATATTAGACAGATGCACTTACCATGATATTAGGGAGAGTAGCATATCTAGGTTCATTTAACCTTAAATCAACACTGAGTACAGCAGGTAATTTAACTTTGATGGTCTCCAAACCTCCATCAATTTCTCGTACAATCTTAAGACTTCCATCTTCTTTTTCAACTTTAGATACAAAAGTAGCTTGAGGCCAGTTCAACATAGCGGCGGTCATCTGAGCAGTTTGATTAGCGTCATCGTCGATGGCTTGCTTTCCCAAAATGATTAAATCAATCTTCTCATCTTGAGCTAATTTAGCTAATATCTTTGAAACATGGATTGGTTGAAGATTTGAGTATGCTGCTGCATCAATATCGACATGGATAGCTCTGTCAGCTCCCATAGCAAGAGCTGTCCTTAAAGTTTCTTGACTTGTCTGAGGCCCACAGGATACAGCGATAATCTCAGCCGCTGCTTTAGCTTCCTTCATTCGAACGGCTTCTTCGACAGCAATTTCATCAAATGGATTTAAACTATGCTTGACTCCATCAGTAACAACTCCAGTTTTGTCTGGTTTGACTCTGATCTATGAAAGTGATAAAGTGATAAAGACAACAAATCATGACATTGAAATTCAAGATTACAGCAAAGGAAAAAGACACTTTGATGGTGAAAATAAATAAAGGGCAAAGATGAAACCAAAATCGATCGTTATGGATTGAGGAAAACTGTATAGACAAATCGACAAAAATGCTTATTTGGCATAGCCATACTACTAAAGCTATATTTATGTCAACCTGATTGATAATGCTACATCTGGAAATATTTCTTAAGCTCCTCTAAATGAATTAATGTTCTGATACTGATACTTAAACGCTAGACTGTTAGATTTTGTTAGTCTGCGAAAAGTGTAACATCTAAACTGCTATTTCATGCTGCTCTTGGCGAGACCTACTATAAAAATGTAGATTTGGGTGTAACTCGGAAGAAGAAAATTTTCGTACTTAACCATTAAAATCAATTTTTGAGATAGCAGTTTAAATCACAACAAACTTACCTTGACAGCATAGTCAATAACACGTTTGCAACCAACAAGTATTCTTAAAGACATGTTTTGATGAGAAAACAACTTCAAATCGAAGTCACTATATTAAATACAATAGCACAGTCCACAAAATATTCAAAACCTTGTATAAAATAGTAAGAAAGAACAGATAAATACAATCAGTTCAATCAATTAAACAAGTGGTAAGATTCCAAAGGACAAAAAGTTTCCCATTACAGTTGCTGTTTTTGTTGTTGATTAAAGACTGCAAGATAACTGGCTGACTCTAGAGGCGCGCTATTTTAAAATACATAAATTTGGATCGAGAAAAACAAAAATTTATAAATATCATTATTGGTAGAAATAATTAAGATATAATCAAACTAAAAATTTGCAAGATTTATCAATTAATTCAAATAAAATCTTTAAAATGAATTAAATTAGCCAACGATGAAGTTTTAGCATTAAAAATTTGAAATAACTTGTTTCTTTATGCCAGGCCTTTCCACTAACCTACTTGAATATTGGCCATCATCATTATTAATGATTGACTTCGAAATTTTATTGAAATCAAATCAACTGATTGATATTTTTGAGAAACTAAAAATTTTCTAGAACAAATATATTCAATATTACAATCAGGAATACACGAAGGAATAATATACGCGGTATTTCACTAAAAAAGAGTACAAATCAGAGAAGTACTTTTATTAACTTTAATCATCAAAGTAAATCAAATGGGTATCATTTGAATCAGCACAGAATTATCAAACAAAACATTGGTTTAAAATATTGGTTTTGAGTGATAAACACAATTTTATAATACGAAGATGAAGGTGAAGAAAAGTTATTTTAAATGATAAATTGGTCACGCTCTTCGAGATCAGCTATTGCGATCGAGGCATAAAATATAAAAGATGTAACCATTTCTTATAAATGTGACTTTGTTCAACAATCAAGCTCGAATTCATTGAAAATTAATGAAAACAAAAAAGATTCCTTTGCTTTATGGTTGAAGTAATTCAGTCCCAGCTTTTTATCAATCATGCCAGCTTTATAGATTAGACTGTGAATAATTTAATTTGTCTGCTTGATGTTTACTTATTTCGATCGATGCAAGATTATTTTTACCCAATTTGGGTAAAACTTTTGTTCCAAGTGATAATATACAAGAGATAATCAGTAAACAAATCAAGTATTTGAGAGTGAAATGAAAAATTTTTGCAAGGGAAGATTATTTAAAGACCCCATGTCAACAAAATCTATCTGAATTCCATCCTTATTCAAATATCCACGGAAAATAGCTTCAATGTTTGGTTGTATCGAAAATATTCTCTAATATCCAATGAACTTTGATGATAATTGTTTTTACTTTAAATATACAAGTTAATGAGTGATGATAATAATAATGATGATGATGATTATGATGATAATAGTGATGGTACTGAAAGCTATGACAACGTGAAATTGAATCCATCCGATGGCGAAAATTCAGTTTTAAACTAATGTCCTTAATTAAATCTTTCATGCGAGTCAATTTTTCTTGAGGTGGTAATAAAATCAAACAACGAGAAAATTTTTATACACTGTCCGATGTTACTTTCTTTGAGCTTGTCAGATGAGGAATATTTTTACCAACAATTGCAAAAACCGGGCCATTGGCGCGATATTCAGCAGTCTCCGGTCTTGCCTTTGGCTTTTTATGAAAGATGTACTTTTCTAGGGCAGCAAAAGGAAGCTCAACGGTCACATAAAGTATATAAGCTAAGACGAAAGCCATCACTGTACGTGCAAGGAAAGTGTTAAACTGCGAATAAATGGAAAAAAATTAATTTTAGATGGACAGTGGAAATTGACATTAATTGTTAAATTATTTACCAATTCGTAATGGCCAAAGTAAACTCTCTCTCGTGTTCTTCCTGTATGGAACAGCATAAGGAGTGGGTGAACGAGATAAGCAAGGTAACTCAAGTTACTTAAAGGACCAAAAGCAGGCCAAGAGAGAAGAGAGTTGATAAATCCACCGCGTTCGGTTGAACAGGCAAACACAAGCCAGCCTAAGGCGATAGCCCAAGCTGTTCGGTGGACACTAAGATATACAGCAGCCTCAGTCAGACCTGGCATAGTTCCAGCAAAAGCAGCATGAGGAGCAAAAATTATCAGACTCATAACTGATAGGGACGCAATCCATGCAATGGCTTGAGTTCGCTGTGAAAATAAAAGTACAACTAATTAATAATGATAAAACAAATTTCTCATTAACGATTTACTTTCGTTTTTATCTGAGTTTTTTATGCAGACTAACAACTACTTTTTGTATTAGGAATCTGCTGAATGGTTGATGAATTAGATCAGATTATGTTGAGATTGTGCTGATTTAATTGCTGGTTGAATTGAAAGGACAGCAGAGTAACAAATCAATTAAATTTTACATAATTGAACTGTCTTTACCAACAGTGAACATTCAATTGTATAAAGAAGGGGTTATTTCATTTATCGACCTGGTTATTTGATTTTAAGAAATGAAGTGCGAGTTAAATTGAGAAGTGAATGTAAAACGGATAATGAACAGTTAACCAGATCATTTGATTGAACAAAAGCCTGATCATAATCTTTCCTGCAGTCAGTAATTTGAGTAAGACACGTTTTACAAGTTTGCTAATTGTTTGAAAGAGAGAGCGAACAAAAAAATACAATTTAACATGTTAATACGAATTGTTGGCCTGACCCGGAAGATTAGTAATGACCTTCAACTTTTGAAGTTTATGTTTTCAACTAATAGCTAACCAACTAATTTTACAATTAATGAGTAAATAAATTTTAGTTAAAATTAATGAGTGGTTGGTTTGTATTCAATTTGTTGTAGTTGATCTATCCATCAATTCATCTTGAAACCAATGGACCTGAACAAATGAGTTGATTTTTTTGCAAATTGAAAACACTGAATAGTAACAGTTAATCAAGGGATTGTTGGATTGTTTAAAAGTTCAAGATTACCGTTGAGATCATTGAATTTTTGTATTTAACTAGATAATAACCGCCAACAATTCCAACCAGATAAGATCCGAGATGATTGTAGGGCATAATATATAATGTTAAGATTTGTTGAGAGTAACTGTAAGTAGAAGACAAAAAAGAACAGATTAGTAACTCATGAAACATAGAGGATAGTTTTGAATTTGAGTTCATAAATTTGAATCAGCGATTAAAATGGATCAGTAATGAGGTGATAAATTGAGACGAGATGAAAACATTTGAAATTGTCATGAATTTTTGTGAAAAAGTTTATATTCCCATTCAATCTTCGTTAATCCCATTCAATTTAGTTCTTGACTTTTCCTAAATTTGTTATTTAGGTGATTGAAATTGGTACAAATGATAATGTACAATTGTTCCTTGTTCCTTGAATCATGGATAAACGGATCATGTAATAAACGGTAAAGTCAGAATTAATGTGCAAGATGAACCTGAAGAAAGCACATTTCTTGAGTAAATAAAATATTTTTAAGTATAAACTAATAATCACTGACTGTTAAAGATGATTTTACACTTACAATTCAGGCAATTTCAAGTTTGCAAATTCATTAATTTTTAATTCACGAATTAAGAGATTTTCTCCTGACTGCTACTTCAAGGGTTAGAGTGTAACAATAATGTTAGATCAATTCATTTAATGTCTCAAGTTGAAATACCTTTAAAGGGGGTAAATTGATTAGTGAATCAGCTTGAATAGTGAGAAAGTTTATATTAATAATAATAAATCTACTACGAAGCAGGAGGAAGAAATAACTAAATAAATGTTAATTTTGTTTTCTTTTCCTGTCCAAACAAGAAAAATCGCCTTAAGAATGAAGTGTAAAAATACATAAAGCGCATAAAACGTAAAATCGATGATCATTAGCTCATAATTTCCCTTGATTAGTTCAGTTTTCATCTTTTCCTTTACTATTCTCTGAATTCCCAAGGAAAAGTGTAATATTTCGCAAAATATCGCAAGCCAAGACTTTAAATGTTTCATTAAAATGTGTCACAGTCAATAATTAATAAATAATCGGTAAGCAAACTGTAGATTGGCAAGAGTTTGAGCTAAAATCTTCCACAAATCTTCAGAAACATCCAAAAACATGATCAAGACAATTCAGACATCGCTTGATTTGGAGTTATTTGATAATTTGACGTATTATGGACATTCATCGATACTTTGTCATCTTGTATAGCAACAGCACTTACTCAGTGAAAACAGCATCAGCAATAACTGTTGGCCATCGCAGGTTATTGATAACTGTATAAATGTAAACACCAGCACCAGCCAGAATTGTGAAGAATGATAGAATTGTTATTGTCAATTTAGGAAACCTGATAGGGATAGAGAATGAAGAACAAATAATTAGTCACTGTTTTGTATTGCTAATCAAACAAAGAAAAGTGGTTAAAATCAAATTATCGTTAAATTGATTTTCTCTTAAGACTGGGTCGATTTATCCTCTTTCTTTTCCCATAACATTTTCTCGACCGTTCCATTTGACCTGGCCTTAATATGTATAAACAATATACTTATAAATATTTTTATAAAAATATCAAGTTCAAGGATAGTTCAAAAGCAGCTTATTTTTTATCATTTCATATTCTAATGTATCCTCAAAAATAGACAACAGTTTATCCTAACGCAATACATTAATAGTAATTAAAACACAACACGAGGCAAGTTTCGTTACTGGTATAGTTAAACAAGTAAATGCAATTATTTGAAATGAAAGGTTTAAAAAAAGCACACACCAGTGGGACACAATCAATTTTGAGTTAATTTGATATCGAAATTAAAAATATGTCAACTTATTGCGCCGGAAAACTCACTTAATTTCAGATATATAAAAAGCTAAACAAGTGTTACTAAAAAAATGCATTGGCTGTTCTTAATATTTCATCACTTAGCTGTCACGAAATTGTCAATTTTAACGCATATCGAAATAAGCTATCGATCAAGGTTAACGAAAATATAACTTGCTAAATTATTAATAAGTGATAATTGTAATCAATGCGAACCGAACGGCAGAGGAGTGCAGATAAGTGAGTTTTCAGCTGTAAAAAATTGAGAGATATGACAAAATGAACTTTACCTGTAGAGAATGTACAAAATAATGGCTGAAAATAGATGAAATTGCATATGAGCAGCAAGGAACCATGTGTGAAGAAGACACTGTAATTGAAACAAGAAAAGAGATAGAATTAGCTTTAAAATTCGAAGAAAATAAGGCCGAAGAAAAAGCAAAACATTCGTACCAGTTGATCAGGAGGCAAAAAATTGTTCAAGAAGAGTATATTAGTCCACCAATTCTGTCTACAAAGTTTAGCCGTGTTTTCAACAGCCTGTGGCCATAGTGGACCGGAACCGATGAGTGGCATTATGAGGACGAGTCCGATGGTAGCTAAGTAGGGTGGCCATATTCTGGATGAAAAACAGAAACGGATGAGTCAGATTGAAAACAAATTTTAATGAAAAATGTAATCATTGTAAAAATATTCAAATTCAAAAAGGTTCAAGTGTCAAGTTCTGAATGAGGTAAAACTTTAGTATAATAATGACTCGATGATAATGGCATTGATAATGACAGTTATGATTGTTATCGAGTTATGGTCAAATTTAAACATTTAAGATTATTTGATTGATTGCTCGGTATCGATCAATATTGTACAGCTAAATGGCTTTCCTCCTTTCAACACACAATAAAAAGCTTAATCTACTGATTGATGGTCGTTAAGAGAAGGATATTGTTTAAAATTTTGAATAGAGAGCGCTAAAATACTAGAAGAAACGTTAGACTGTTTCGTATTATCAATTAATTTTCAGCACAAAATTAGTCACAGCCAAAGGTCAAAGTTCTTTACTTTTAGTCACAGCTATCTAATAACAATAGATTTGGGTTGTTTACAACAAGCAAGAATAAAGGAATTTGATAAAATGTTGCAAAATTCATGTACTTACCTCCAAACTTTGTGGATGAAAAAATCAGTTATACTAATTTTACCCTCAGAAACAGTTAATTTTTTCCAATTTGCATAAACAACTAAAAGACCACTAAAAAATTGAAAGAGAAAAGATAATGATAATTAGAAGAAAATACATTTTGAAGCTTTCAAATAAACATTACCTTATAAAGAAAAATGTGTTGACAGAAAGAGTAAAATTGGCAATTGGCATAAAAATGAAGTCATCGTCAATCTCTTGGATATGCTTAAGACGACCTATGAGTAAAATCAAAAGGATATATTAACAGAAACGGTTTTGAAGGTTTGTTGATAAGACTTGCACATTAAAAGTAACAACATTACATGTAATGGTTCAATGTTTTAAAAATTTTATGATAAAGCAATCACTTACGGTAATGATGATAATGAACAAAGTCGGTGTAGAAATAAGTATGACCCATGATGATCCATGTTACAGAGAAAAACCTAATCCCATCCAAATGTCTAAGAGGTGATGAGTAAGGTTTCTTTGCCGAGTCTAACAGCTTTTTGGTATTACGTTTTAATGAGAAAGAAAGGAGAAAATGTTTCCATGATCCTGTTTATTTAAAATAACCGTTGATTAATTTTTACCCATTTTTTGCAAAGTGTTTCGTTAGTCAAGTTTAAATGCTTACTTTCATCTCCAATGAATATTTTTTTCTCGCTTTTGTAAGATAAAATCATCTCAAGGATGGTTCCAGTTATAACCAAGACCATGATTACCGTTAGGATTACACTGAAAAGGTATGTAAACAGATTAATCTCTGATATGTTTGAGTTTTTAAAGTTTACAACAAAATTTTATTTACATTATTGTTATTTGTGTTTTATCCGCTGTCCAGCCTTGCTTAGTTTGACAATAGTTGACATTCACTTCCATACCAGTTGGCTCAGCAACTAAAATGGATTAATACAGATGATAGCTTAAATGTTTCTTCTCGGACGACTTATCGATTGTGACTCAATTACTTACGGTAGTTGGCTATCTCTGTGATCTCTTCCTTGTGACAAGCTGAAGGAATACAAAGACCGTACCGAAAGGATAAAAGACTGTTTCTTGACCAAAATTCTCTGAGTGCCTAAGGAAAAGAAAACATTTAATAAGCATGGAGATGAACATGAAATATTTATTTGATCTATTAATATGGTGGTATCATACCCGGCCCCAAACTACAGAATCTTCCGGAATATTTGATGGTCGTCTTGCTACATCAATGTTTTCATCAAGAGCTGCCTTTATGTCCATAACACAATATCGACCTTCAAGATAATCTCGTTCACCAGATGATTTCACATCATTTGAAGGAACTTTTAAATCGATACATTGTTCAAATGAACCAAAATCAGTGAGAGTTCCTTCCAGAATTCCGCTCGGAGGCTTACCGGAAGAATCCAACACTATTATTGAAAAAAAAGAAAATAGAAAGAAGTTATAAATATCGCCGGATTGTAATGTTCAATACATTTTGCCGTATTTCAATATCGACACAAAATTTTGCAGATTAGCATTAAATTAATATTTTTTTTGCTAATCACAAATCAAAAAGAAAGGATGTTAAGTGTAAAAACTATCAAGCTGTAAAAGGAGAACAAGGAACAGTGTCATAATGGAATTGGCGAAGAGTTAATTGACGTTAACCAAACAGGGAGGCCGATTCTTGATTCTGATTTCTTGAAGGCAAATTTCTCTCTCATCTGTTTTCTCGATTTTGATGGTAGTTTTTGATGTATTGAGAATTGGTAATGGATGTTGATTCTGATACCGAGACTGATGCTGATCATGTTGATGTTGATAAACGTATATAAAATGGGAAAGAACGAGGAAAGCAAGGTAAATAAGCTATAGCTGACTTGATCACGGAAGAATTGAAATCAAATTGATGACGATTTTCAATTCTGACCGGAAGTTGTTTGTCTTAAACCAACAAGATTGAGTAAACTTTTTTCTCTTCATTTGATTTTCAATCGGATTCTATCATTTATTTCTTTTTTGTTTTCCTCTTTTTTTAGCTTATTGTATGTTTGCTGTTGTTTTTTGTTTCATCACTTGATTATCGGGAAGTAATCATGTTCATCTGAATCATCATTATCATGATCATCTCTATATAATCATCAGCGACTTGATAATGATGGTCGCCTAAGATTACAGTGAAAATCATACAGTTCTAACAAATGATCAGTCCAAAACTGATTTGCAAAGCGCTAATAAACAATAAAGAAAGTCAAATTGAATAGGAAAGGTGAGTTATTTTGCATCTACGAGCGTTATTATTATCAATAATAATTTATTTATTCAAATCTTATCCAGGAAGCTGTTGAATTATCAAACTTGATTAAGGATCCAAAACTTTTCAATTCGGATAGTCATTAGACTAAAGCACTGGATTTAATGGATTAGTCAATTTGAACAATTGCTTTACTGTTTTATTTAGCTGAATAAAACGTTATCATCCTACTCCAGCTAGTGACTACAATTTCAATTTTTGGTTACAATTCTATTATTATTGATGGTGGAAACAAAGTTTACACTGAGTACTTGGAACATAATAATATGAAATATTCATTGATGAGGAAAAGAAATGCAAAGTTATGAAAAGATTGTTAAAAAAGGACCAAAAAACAAGAAATTTGATAACCAGGAACCAGGTAAAATTGTAACTCATGAAGAGTAAAGATTCGGTCTCTTTCAATTCTTTACGACTTTTGTTAATGAAAAAGTGATTTAATCGTTATTCTAATTTTTATTTCTTTTTGGTACAAAAACTCGATTGGTATCAAAAATGCAGAACGGTGTGCCTGTTTCTCGATGCATTCCAGTAATGAAGATATTGTGCAAATTTAAAATCGAGGATCAAGAAAAAAATAAAGCTTAATGATCAGATCCAGACTGCAGCCTAACTATTGATACAAAGCCATCTTGAAGATACCTTCCTGTTAATCAAATAAATCATTAAATGAATGATCAAATCAATCAAGACAACTTCCCAAAGCAACATCTAAAATCAGCGACAACAATATTCTCATTTTTAAATCAATTATGGTAACAATTAATGCATCAATATGAAAAGCACCGCGAGTTACTTGGATTCAACAGCGTAATCAAAGGCTATTCAACAAAATCAAAGTTAAGTCGATTACTTATTGACGATTGAAAGATACAATTGAAAATGTAAAACGAAAACCTTTTTGTGTTGAAAGTTTCAAACTCAGGGCATTAACTCAGAGTAATATTATATCATTTTATCCAATCAAACCAATCGACCTTCAACTATTAATGAATATTATGTTGTTGATTAGTGTATAAAAAACGAATCAATCTGAAATGATATTTGATTGTGCAAGGAAATTAATGGCAATTGAGTTCACTCTAAATGCATCGGTTATATTGGGTTGTCAATAATTAATCAAATTGTCTCATCACATTTTACCAAACAATAGAAGAGTTTTTCATCAGTTTAATGCTATTTAAACCCAATTTACCTTTACTTTTCTTTCTTTCTTTTTTTTCTTTATCCCTTAATCTCTCTCTCTTTCCCTGAACCGAAAGTACAGCTCAGTTGGCTAAGCTCACCTTGTTTACAAAACAAAAGCAATTGGAAGCTAAAGGTCAAGTATTAACTTGTCAAGAGAAAGTATATGTTTGTACTTGACTTCATGGCCTAGAACTTAATTAACTTTATTAAACTGACTCTTTTTTCTCGATTCTTCTCACAATTGCAGTTTATGTCATGTGGATTACAATTTATGATTATATAATTGTATGGACAAATGAACAAATTAATAGATTAGTATTTGTTAATCTTGAAAATTGCGATTCCAAAATCTAATTCTCTCTTCTTCAATCTGGTTTCAATCCTTATTGCACTGCATTGAAAACATGAAATTACCATAATCATTGCCATTAACTATTAATCATTTATAAGCTTACATTTGTTGTTTGATTTACAATTTCTTGATCTTTCCCTGAACCAGTTCATTCCTATTTAAAAATCAATTCCAGTCAAAATCACAATTCTTTAATTGTGAAAAATTTACTTTTTTTTCATTGAACAATAACATAACTCTTTGTCTATCTTCACACTTAGATCAACACCCAAATGAATGGAGGATATCACTTACAATTATCATCATCGCTGATTCAAATTTTTTTGTTAAATTCTCACAAATTCTTTCAATCAAGGTATAACCTAAAATATTGACTTTTTGCCTGATGAAAAAACGTTAATTCAATTCGTTTAATTCAGACAGGAAGTTCATTTATATTGTTCATTATAATAAGACAGCAATAATGATGTTAATAATAAGAGTGATATCAAATGAATAATGCTAATCAACTTGTGACCTCAAATTTGATGAGATATCAAATTTGCTATTGTATCTATTGACCAAACCCTATGGTCCAGTCAGTAAATTGTAGCTAATTAAATTTACCAATTGTAAACTTGTCTTAATTGTATATCATTAATAATTTAAAATTTTTCTCTATCCTCAGAATTGTCAACATTAAATCAGCTTTACCGGCGTAAAATGGTGAATGGCAAATCTCAAGCATCGCCACAACTGGAATGAAACACACAAGAAATCAGATATCATCATCATTGGTCAATTTATTCCATGGACTGGAGGATAAGCAAAGAATTGGCTGTCTGTTAATTCATCATGAAAGTGTAAAATGGTGGAAACCGGTAAACTAAATCAGATTCGAGGTCAAATTTAAAGAGATGATGTTGGCTTAACAAAGTGGACAAGTGATAAAAGTTTCAAGTAAAATTTAAAGTGAAAAGGAGTCTTAATTTGATTTGGAAATTATAAACTGAATTCAGGGTAAATCAGAAAAAAATGGTGATGAAGATAAAGAAATAAGAGAGACCGGAAGAGCAAACTTCTTCCTCACAGCCACGACTGACCCTCTCTCTCGCTCTTTCTTTCTCTCTTTCACCTTCATCATCATCATAATCATCAATTTTTCTATTCACTTTCTTTCTTTTTCGTTTAAATATTTCTTTTTTTTCTTCAATCTTGTAACAGTTTACTTTATGATTCGCTAATTGTGACCATGATTAACGGCAATATTCGCGGTTAATTATCTGATAGAAACTGGCCACCACCAACTTTCTCCTGTTCTTCTTGTTTTTTCTTCTTCATTTCACTTAAAACCAAAATAATACATAAACATCACTATCATGATTCTTTTTCTCTTTTTTTCTTCTTCATTACAGTTTCAAACTGGAATTATATTACACACTGAGAGTGGGACGAGTTGATCATCAATTGAAAAAATTTAAGCATTGCTTTTGTTACAATTCACCTTAAACCTGAGAGATAAGATTATTTTTCACTTTAATCCTGATGATGAGTAAAATATTGGAGCAATTTATGTAAATTTATAAGATAACTTCAAAGCTTTATAATAGGATGCATGAGTTTGAATACTTACTTCTGAAAGCCCAATCTTTTCCCTGTTGAAGACCGTCTGTTAAAACCATGAAACTATTGGCACACTGAGCTGATACATTTGCTTCCATTCCGGTTTGAACTATTGTTGGTAAAGCTGATTTTAACATTTTACCAACAGATTCTTTCAAGAAATTAAGAAGCATTTCCAAAGCTTCCGATTCTGTTGCTAAAGGCGATGGAGAAGACAATGTTGTTGATTTTGCTTGAGATGTGACATTATCAGAGTCATCCTCATTTGAATCTGTTTTTGATGAACTATCAACTTGAGAGTCATTGGATGTAGCTACAGAATCGAGGATTGTTGAATCCGACGATGATTCAGATTCATCTGGCTTAACTGAGCCCATTTCAATGGCAGTCATTGACGATCTACTTGTATCTTCGCCTATCTCATAATCGACGGCTGACGAGTCCACAGAGAAATCGTTTTCCTGTTTATTGCTTTTTCCAAATTTGTTTTCATTGGTGTCATTATTACTGGTGCTGATCAGATGATCTGTTGAAATTTTATCTGGTTGACTTGATTCCACTCCATCTGCTGATGAGCTTTGATTGTTTTTACCCTCTTTTGACAGAGACGGATCCGCTAAACACAGTCCCAGAGCCAAGAAGATGGCAGCATTTGTTAAAAGCGATCTCATCACAGGCACAATTTATTGATTGATGTTGGTTTGAACGAAACTTTGTAATGAAAAATGAATAGTAGATGATGACAATCCAAATCTATTGGTTGAAGATCAATCGTGATTTGATTGTATTTTAATTCTCTTATACTTTATATATTCAGAAATTGAAAAAAAGTATACAACATAAAGTTGACTAAAAATTAAAATTAAACTTAAAAATCAACTGTATATTGTTTTATAGTTGCTGTTTTATTGTAATCAAAAAGCTTTATTTACTTCTTCCAGACCCGTTTCAGGCCTGCTTTGAATGTTTGTTAACAACTGAATGAACTCAATCGTTATTTGATCTGTTGAAATCTCCTTAATTCGATATACTCAGTATCATTTAACTTTCTATTCGTCTCTCTCTTACTCTCTCTCTTTCTCTCACTAACTCATTTCCCTCCTACTTTCTCTTTCTTTTTCGAACCTGTCTCATTACCTGAAGTTTTGAGTGTCCAATCTTTGATCTTAACCTAGATGGGAAAATTCAAAAATTAAGATTAAAAGAAAGGAAGAAATCCGTTAAGAATCTTGAAGCTAGAACTAAAGACTATCAAAATTACACCGAGTTTTGTATTAACTATTTTTATGAGTTAATCCAATGAATTTTGAGATAAAATCATAAAATTTCATTTGGTTTTTGTGTGATTAGTTAATAAAGAAATGATCCAATTTTTTGACAAAGAAATTTTAATTGAAACATGTATCGGTTTCGAGTAAATGTGTTTCGAGAAGAAAAAGAAAAGATTTTATGAACATAATGAATCGAGAAAAACAGAAAAATAATGATGAATTGGAAATAGAGTTCTGAACTCTACTTTTACATTGGAAATTTTCCTTTTAATTAACCATGTAGTTTGTCTAATATGAAAACGCCAAATAAAGATTGATTGTATGATAAGAGATATAAATTTCAAAAAATGATCTTTTAGATGGGATAATTTTTTATCCAGCAAGTTTTTTGTTTGGTCTTCATTGATTGGAAGTGAACGGGTTGTTGACAGTCTTTGAATCGATGGATCGAGTTGATAAAACTGTATTTGGATAGTTTCCTGGTCCAATGTTACACATTGATGGGTTAATTAGAGGAAAATGATTGACACTGATGAATGAAGACATGTAAAAAAATAGAAAAAAGATGGAAAAGATAAATAAATTGAAATGTCAGGCAAGTATAATGACAAGGAAATTATTTGACTGAATCACAGTTAGACAGTTGAATTACTTATTGATTAGATTATTTCCACGAGAAAGAAATTGATCAATTGTAGTTTGTCGAGTTGGAATGTTGGAAAATTTATTAACACCAGAATCGAGACCCAACCGATTCAACTGGTTTGGCTGGTTCCACTGAGTTGAATTTTGGTAATTAGACAAATAGTTAGATTTATCCATCATCTCTGAGAGGCTGAAAAATTAGAATAGAAAAACGAAACAAAAATTAATCAATGTATTCAGATTATTCCAATCAAATATCTGAGACTTACTTTTTATTCATATTAATGCCAAGTCCATATGGTTTCATTTCTTGAGAAAGGCCAACTTGGCCGACTCCTTGGTGTGTCGATGGGCCAGGGTAGTTTTTAAAAGACATCAAATGATTGTTGATGAGATTTTTTTGCAAAGCAGCTTTATCGTCATTAATGTCTATATTATCGTTCCAATCGACTCCTGCTAGCCTTAATTACAAAAAAAGAAATTCGTTAAAAATCAAATTCTATGAAAATAGTAGAAAGCTAAAAAATGCTTACTGGTCGTTTTTGTCCACATTTTCTTTCATTTCTTCGTCGTGATTTTCATTGCAATCTTCAGGTAGAAAATATTCACTAGAGGTATAAGTATCAACTGGTTCCTGCTTGATTGTGGTGTACATCCGTCTGCGGTCGAGAATAAGATTAAAATGGAATTGAGTTGATGAATAACATGAAGAGATAAGCTCTAATAACATACCTTGTAATTTCCGCAGAATTAGAACCGCTAAGATGATTTAACAGGTAATTCGCCCGTTTTTTGAAACATGATACCAATCGTTTCAAACGTTCATTCTTTGTTTAGTTGAAACATCAAAAAGATTTGAGAAAATCGAATTAGAAAATTCTTTTCAATTAAAAAAGCTTACATGCTATTAATTTGAAATGTCGATAATTTTCCTTTCGAATTAAAGAATTGAAGGAAGATTTGACAGAAATAATTCAATAATTTGTGTTAGTGAATACAATTAATTAGCAATTTTAGAGTAATGAACATGAAATCATTAACATTCACCTGAATATCAATCAACAAGCAGACAATTTTTTATAAGCTGAAGTGAGGAAACTGCTAACTTTAGCTTGAATAAAAATTGAAACTTGACTCAAATCAAGCTATCAATCAATCTTTCTAGTTTACCCTCGAAATTGAAATAATTGAAAACAAAAGGCTTACCTCTCTAAGTAAATGGAGAGTAAATTGATCGTTTTGGTCACATTGAAACCGTACCACCTTATGGACACTCTGATAGGTTTTCCTCAAATCTTTGAACAGCATCTGTGTTCCTTCCGGCATATTTCTAGAGATATTTACTCTGGCGAATTTCTTCTTGCATATCTTACAGGTGGCTCGATTCCCTGAGAATAAAGACAAATAAAATAATAAATTTTGATTAGCAAAAGAAATGTAAGAAAATATAAAAATAAAAAAATAAAATAGGTTACCATGAGGAAGACAAGCTGAGCAATAGATGTGGCCACAACTTGTTAATGAAAACAATTTTTCCTTAGAGTACAAAGTGTAACAACCGTTGCAAAAAACACGAAACATGATGTTGATAGTTAAATTGGTGTAGAACACAAGAAAAAATCAAATTAATCTGAATAATCAACAGAAAATCACTTTTGAAAATAAAATTGAACTGAGACAAAATAATTTGAGTAAGAGAATAATCTTGTCAAAAAGCCAAACACTTTTCTATTATTTTCTCTTTTGTAGCTAGCTTTTTCTTCTGGCTATTTTTTCAGCTAAGCTTATTTCTTGGCTGATTAGTGTCACTTCATTAGTTTTGTTTATGCATTCAACTCGACAATTAAACTAATCATTTAATGACATTATACTCCATTTGGTTTAGACCACAATTAAGCTAATTAAAAGATTCACAGCCCTAATTGAATTTAGTTGCGCCAGAAAACAAATCTGTATTTGAACTTTGTTACAATGCATTTCATTTTTTTAATTGAGTTCATTATTATGACCAGGCTTATTTAATTAGATCGATTAATGTTGACTTTTAAAAGCTATATCTAGCCAGGTTTAATAGCAATTAGAGGAAAATCAATCAACAACAGAAGTTGATTTGATTTTGATTGAACGAATTAATGAATTTTTTACTCATTGCTAAAGGTAAATTTATGCTGCCGAAAATACCAATCTTTTAATTAATTGATTAAGTGCATAATTATTTCAAGGAAAGTTTTGATTCAATTGAATGGGTTAATTAAAAGTGAAAATATTTAATCAAGTTTTAATTTATTGAGCATTTAATTACAGCTCCATCTCGTGAAGACAATATTGGCTATTTAGATTCGTTTGTTTTAAAATCCAAAGATGGCGTTGCGTTTGACGTTAAAAAATAAAATCCAAGTTTCTGAATTCAATTGAACTCATCAAACCTTTCAGTTTATTTTGATTAAAGTGACTTATCCAAATCAATACCTAATTTGGTTAAAGTGTTAATATTATCAATTATTCAATTCCAGTTTAAGATACAAAAGTTAAGTTGACCACAAATCATTGTGGGATTAGTTGTCATCTCGTTAATGCTGCTTAAAGATGGAAATGTTTACCTTTACACTTTCCAATTGAATAATTTATTTACGGTTACAATGTAATGATTACTGTTTATTTGAGATAAATTAGGCAAAGAATATTAAAAGCCTTTTTCCCTTCATTATCATCATTCTGTATTGTAATAAAATGGGTTACCTTCAACAATTGTGATGAAAAGAGCAACAAATTAATGAATATTCATCCTTACTCCTTTATCATTGACTTACTGATGATGATTTACAATGATTACGTGTTAATTGATTTTCCTGTCTTCATTTGATGCAAACAAGTGAAAATAAGCGTTTTTGTTTACTCTCATTATCATTGTAATTTAGTTAACATTACTCTGTTCAATATTATTCAGGTGCTGTGAACGGTTAATGAAATAATAAGAGTTACTTGAAGCGAGATAATTTTCAGTTTCATCCTGTTAAGCTGATTTGTCATCAACTTGCTTTCTTTAACTCAAATTACACTTGACACTAAAAATAGCATTAATAATAGCCTGTAATATAATCAGAAAGTCAATCAATTTGTAGTTGAACATAAATGCAAATATTAAAGATGCACGATAATGACGATATTAACTGGCTGGAGAATGATAAAAGCCTAATATTCACATCGATTTTACGCTTTGTTTATTAATAACAATGAACAGTTAATCACAATTGACTTGAAAAATGTGCTGATGAATAAAACAGTTAATAAACAGATGAAAATTGAAAAAATGAAATCAACTTTCAGTGCTCAAAGAAATGATTGTTATGTAAGTTTAATCAAGTTTTTTCAGGTAATCTAATGAGGTGAGCTTTTTGATTGTAAGACGTAAAGAATGTCAAGTAAACGATTAAATTTGATCGATGATTATTTGGACTATTATAAATATTGTTCAATCCCCACTTGAATGGTATTAAAATAAAGGGATAAGAGGGAATGTTTTAAATGTTGTATTAAATGAGGAGAGAAGGAAATTATGGCAAGGAGAATGTGAAGGAGTGAATCAAATTGACAGAATAATAACAATAAATTCAATGTTGAACTTTGTTGACATTTCAATTGAACCTGAAAAGGGAATCGAAAGTATTTACAAAAATATTTCACTAAGAAGTGAGTTTAACCATTAGTTGATAATCAGGAAAGACCAATGAACAAAAAAATAAAGAAGGAACAGATGATTATGATGAAGAAGATGGAAAAATCAATAAAATCATTCTGACTGCATGTTTATCTATACAAAAAATATATTAACGATGGGATAACTTTGATCATAACCATTCGTTTGGTTAACTCTTTAGATAAGTTTTTTCTTCTCGCAAAAATAAGAGTGAAACTGAATAAACATTAAATGATAATAATCGTATAACTTACAGAGATACACATACACAATGCACAATATAACAAGAGAGGGTTCATTAATCAAATGACAATGATCAATCATTATCGATCCAATCTAAAGAAAGCTTAGTTAATTCAGTTTGTAATACTGTTGTTGATGATGACAATGATGAAAATAAACCAGCAACAAAATTGAAGAGACTAAATAAAAAAGAAGATGAAAAATTGAAAAGATGAATCAACAAGATAGAGTTGAGATGCCGATAATGAGGGCCACCAGAAAGGGATTGAGTGACACGAGCATAAAGTTCAAGACTTATGAGGAAGGTGAACAGCATTAATCAATTTTTCGATCATTAATTAACCATTCTAAAATAGATAGTCAATCAAACAGTTGAGCAAAAAAGTGAAAAAAGAGTGGAAGTTGTCCATCCTATCAGGTGTTATCGAAAATTTACATTAAAAAATGAAATTTACATATTTGAAGTGGGAAATTATGCCATCCTTTATCGTGTTCAGCTCGTTTGGATATGCTATTTCCCCATGTCATGTAGACCTTTCACCAAAGATTTAGGTACTCTTTGCCTTTCACAGCTAAAAGGGTTACTTTGATAACACGTGAAACCAATTCGCACAGTAACATGCTGTGTCTCTGGTAGTCGCCACATCTATTTTTAGACAAATAAATGGAAAATTTGAGCGATTTAATGATTACACTTGAACAACAGACAATTTAAATATTGTTTAAATCACACATAATGTATTAATAATTAGACACAAATTTATAAACTAGACAAAAGACAGTTATGATGAAATTAAAATTACCGGCTTGAGTATTGAGGGAAAAACTAATGGCTTAAGCTTTAGCTATCGAGCCGCGTAAAATGAGATTCAATTAATCGATCAGATATAAAAGACTGATGGTGATAAAATTTCGCATCTTTTTTTTGTTATCATCATGACTTTTTTTTCTTCCTCTCTCATTATACACTTGACAGTTTGTCATTCAAACACATCAATCTTTCTTTGTTCTTGTTCTTTTTTCATGTTCACTCATCACTTGGTTTCATCCTTTTCTTAACCCTCATTATCAATACATTTTTTGCCCAACTTTAGTTACATCTTACATCAGCTTCATCTCAGCTGAAATTCAACTCCTATTCAACTTGGAGTCTATTCATGTTCTTGTGTTCAAACAATTATCATTTAATTCATTGATTGGAATGTTGTCAGCAAAATTGGATTCCCTGCCAACCTCACATGGCTGTATTTATTCAATGAAATCAAAAAACTCATTCTCATACTCATAGAAGCATATAAGCAACTGCACACAGACTAACGATACAAGCTAGTATCAAATGATTAACATTTTGAATTCAATGTAAATGTATGTATACAAATCTGCATGATAATAGTGAAGTGATAACTCATTGTACAATTCCTCTTTCAACTCCTAAAGGAACCCAAATCTAACCTTATCACACCCATAGTTTCGCTCAGCTTTTATTTGCATTTTTCATGTTAACATTTGCTAACCCATTTGGCTTACCTTATTTTAATTACCTGCTAATTATTTTATTTCTTATCCAATATTACCAGGTTTCGTAAGGTTTACACAATGGATGAGTGTGTCAATTACAATCTTGACATAAACAAACAATGTCTACCGTCTAAAATTGGTATCCAGTTGAAGACACACATCAGGACTGACATGAGGACGTTCAATCAAGACTAAAGGCAACCCAAACAACCTATTGATTATTTATCATGATTAGTACAACCTAAAACTCACAGGTTATCACACTGGAAATTGTATCATATCAATCATTTGACAAGCCTCTCTTAACCCACCTACCACTGCAAGTTAATCCTGTCTTGTTTAATAGTAATGGATTAGGATGGTAAAAAATGTCTACAATATTGATCTCAATGGGAACTTTTGTTATGCCTGATATTTCTGGAGTAATTGAATAATGGCTTCCCCATTAACCAGTAAATTCATTGGGATTGTACTTTTTTTTCAAAGCAAAGCGAAGAGGATTATCAGGAATCATTCCAAATAATTGGATGTTCATTATTATGGTTAACATGAAAGTCGATGTAAAATAATGATGATAATCAATTGTGATGCAAACCTGTTTTTGTTGCATAGTTACCGAATTAAATTTACCCAAAGAGTGTATTGTTTATAATCAATTAGGATTTATTTTTATTTTCCTTGCATCAATCAATAAACACAACTTGATTTAACTTGATTCACACAGACAAACAAAACAAGAATAAATTGTCTAGTAATTCACAATTTTCTTTGTTTTCACTTGATTCCAATGTTAATGGAATCACATCAAGTGTCAACAAATACAGCATGTAATAATATTGTTTCAACAATAAATAAATCAATAAACGGATTAAAAGTTCATTTATAAATCATTACTAATCCAAGATGAAAGGTTATTCAATTGAAATTCATTGTCTGTTGACATACAACATTCATTTCCATGATTACATTTGGCTACTCAACTATACAAAAAAATAACTGAATGAAACAGACGATTCAAAATAACGATTACTATCATGATGATTACTAATGATTATGGTCATGGTTGTTTTAAGATGAAATGCAATTCCTATTGATTTTTATTGACAAAATAATAAACTGGTTGTATTGCGTTTACATAATACAAAAGGTAAATATTATTTCATATGTCAAACCTATTTTTATATTAATATCTCATTCATTTTCATCTACCATTGAGGTAACCGTTTATGAATGGGTTTCAGTTGGGTTGACAATCATATTAACTGTATTTAATCAATACTGGGTAAATTAATTGTCACCAAGAATTAGCAAAACAATATAAATCTGATAAATTTAAGGGAATTCAAAATTTGCGCCAAGCTTATCCATGAGTTGACATTATGCTTAACGGTAAGCTTAGCCGTTTATTTGTTGATGACTTTGCTTTTTCAATTATTTATTGTAACTTTCAATTGTATTTGTAACTTATTAAACCAAGTGCTAGTTGATTATAAAAGTGTTAAATAGTCAATTGACACTACCATTAGTTGCTGTTAACGTTGGCTGGTTTAAAAATAGTTTCTCATATTTGATTTGACTTGCTTGCTCGCTCAATTCATCATCACCATGTTTTCAAGTATACTTAAGATGATTAACTGTCTTATTTGCTTTCACCGTCATCTCTATTATCTTCCATTATTATGAATTTTCCTGAGGGAAGAAGCCTGAAATTGAAAAACATTTACTCCAAAAAAATGGAACAAGTAAAAATGATTATTATAAAATGAGGTTTACTTTTTCGATCGATATGTAGAGCTAATAACAGAAAAAGATTGCTTTTTTCATTTCTCCAAAGTGTTTTATTTGGACTACTTTGAATGTAAACATTTTGGTACCTTCGATTAATCATCATAAATCACAATCTAGTTTCTTTCAACAGTAAGTTAATCATTCTTACCCATTTTCCATAAATCACAGTCAATTTTGGGCCTCAAGTCAAAGAAACTTGAAAACATTGTTACCGTTAAATCATGTTAGTGTTGCGTTCAATTGATACAAGTTGTTGCTTTTATTTTTAATGTTACTCTTCATGTTAGACATTTATATTAATTTGCAGGGAATTCATGTTAACCCTCTAGTTAAACTGAAATCAGAAATTGATAGCAAAATCTACTGTTAATTAATTATGTTTCAAGTATTCATCTATTATAGTTTTTACATCTGAAAAGCTAAACTCAACTCAACCCTGTTGCTTCAAGTCTTTCAACTCTTTAATACAATGATTTGTTCTGATTTAATTAAAAATAACTACATCAACCTGACTTTACAATCAATTGTTTGGTAAATATTTAAAATATTTCCTCTCAAAATCTTAATTAATGAAAGTTAATTCTACTTTCACTTTTCCCTGACTTTACATGTAATACTTCAATTAATGTTTACTCCAACACAAATGAAAGGGTTTCCTTTTTGTTGTCAACTTGAACCAGATTTAACCAAATATTTAGTCAACCTAAAACTTACAAGATGCATTTTAATTGATCAACTGACTTATATTAAGATGCAAATTAAATCAGGATTAATTGGCAATTCAATTAGCTGATTTTTTATATAGGATGATGACAGGCTGAATTGAAGTTACAAATTTTGAAACCACCAAACCTTTCCAAGCAAACGAACAACAGTGAACAAGTTTCAATCATTATGCAGATTATTCAATGTATTGAATTTCACATTTCACCGAGTTTCGAATGTTCCAAATAAAATTGTATCTTCCAAAGTCAACTTGAAAATATATTATACGATATTTAACATAATCAAATTATGTAAATCATAATGATAAACATGGAAAAAAGAGAAAGGTTAAGAAGCATAAATTTTTTGTTTACCATTACAGATGACAATGTAAAGAGGATAACAAAATGAAGTATCAAAAGGATTGAAATTTATGTAACCAAATAGGATTAGGATTTACAATTGACCAGAACAAGGATCAAATGGTTATTTAATAATCTAATGAAAAGGGTAACAAGTTGATTTGAAAATGGACTGATTATTTTGTTGATTGGTTGAAAGTGGATAAGCTTAACGTTTAGGTGATAACTCTTTAGGCAATGTAACCTGTCAAATGTCTTGTCCCATTGCCCATTGAATTTTTGCGCTGAATTATCATTGAACTATTACGATGATGGCTATAATAAAGGATAACATGATGGTTGACATGAAGGAAACTCGTTTGTAGACGAAATGATCACAATTTTAGGAAACATAAAAATGTTTTCTTGAAATGTAATTTCTTATACCAACAGAGAGAGACAAAATGAAAAATACATCCAGTAATGGTAACAATATCTTGTGAATGATATAATTCTGACTGCTTGGATAGTCTTATTTATCAAGCCTCAACTGATTAATCTGACATAAACTGGCAAACTCAATGTTCAAACATGTGAAAAAATTGAAGTTAATATGTTGAGGAAAACAGGAAGAGTATTTTTTTTCGTTGCTGCTCTGAGTTGAGAATCAAAATAACATCATGCTTATTGATTGAACATGAAAATATCATCAGATGGTAATAAAATAACAAAATGAAAGGCCCAAATACTCATCATTGGTAAACATCAACAGCCAGAAGACCAGAAAAAGCAATTTAAACAAAAATTCAATTTATTTTATTTCCCATTTAATAATGGCGCTTCTAGCTTGCTGTATTTGACCGCCATTTATTTTGGCTTTTTATACCCCTTCACTTGTTTACCTTAACCATTTGATTATCTTATTTTTGGTAATTAATTAAACTAAGTTCATTAATTGACTTTCTATCTGTTTGATTTGTGATATCTTGTCTTGAAGTTTCCAATTTTTACCTAAGTGAATCTATACCCAAATCTGGTTAATCTGGTAATGATTGCTTGCTGGTTCTCGTCTATGTGTTAAGGTATTAACCGGTTGAAAATTTGATTATTAAAATGTTTTCATTTCCATATATTTATCACAATTTTACTCTTTTATTAATGTCATCTGTTTTAATTCACTTAGGTTGGATATATGTTTCCCTGTCATCAGCATTATTCGTTGGTTAAGTTTAATTGGGTTCAAAATTTCAAACGTCAATTTATATTGCCAGAAATACTAGATGTTATGGATCAAGCCTACGAAGAAATTGAGTTTATTGATTATCCCTATTATCATTACCGCGATCACCATAATTGCATTTAAAGATTTATTGATTATGTTTATGCATTTATTAATATCATTTCGACATGGAGATGAATTTCATGATCATCAACAATAATAACATGGTTACCAATCAATAAGCTGGTGTTAAAGACAATAAAAAACAATCAATTTTAACTCAATTTTAATATTACCATCACCAAAGATATCTACGGCTTCTTTCCTTATGATTTAACTGGAAATGGTAATTTAATTTATCCATGGAGAATCCTGATGACTTCAAAATAACATTAAGCCTACTCAGCTGATTGTAAATATTTCAGCAGTTAATTAATACTCTTACATAGAAGTGAAACTTATCAGTTAATCAATAAGCATTATAAATCTGTTGGTTGCAATTCCTTGAAGCTGACTATTTCATGCCTACACATGTCAATGTTTTCAACTCTCTATAATCACATTAATAGGATGGATCATGGATAATCTTGATTGGTTAATGTTTACCAGAATGGTTACAATTTAAGCATTTCTCTTGCGAACAAGGATTAGGACCAAATTGTAATTTGATTACCTTTGTTTTTATTTTTATATAATCAATATGGACCCAATCATTCGAAAGGAATCGAGGAAAGAAAACATAAAGTAAATTGAGACATTTATTGAAAACATATTGTTGACAGTAAAAAAGACAGAAGCAGAATAGAAAGTAAATTACAGTTAGAGAGAAAGATTATTGTTACAGTTGTGGTCAGAGTTAGTTGACAAAAAAGGGTCACACTTACGTTAATTTTCAGGTGTCGGCGTCTTAACCATATCAAGTTGAGATAAGAAAGAAAACAATTCAATAGAAAACTGAACAAAATAAAGTTCGATCTCATTGGTACTTTCATTTACTATTGACTATGAAAAACATCTCCAATTTTGTTAACTTAACCCTGAACACTACTGTATTAGTTTTAATCATATTATCATTGAGTTGAACAGTGGAATGGACAGAGAGAAGCAAATGAAATCAAACTCTTTCATACCAGGTTCCACCTAAAAATAATGGTCCCTTTATTATTTTATTAACATGATTATTTATGTAATCATTATTACCATCATTGTTATATTTGTTCCCAAATAATTATTAATAATTCTTAATAACTGCTAGGAATCAAACTGGATATAAGTGGAATGAGGACGAAAAAAGAAGGGTCACAATTAAGATGAGCAAATTATTATTGGGTTCTTGTGTATATTAATATCATTCTTATACTTATTTCATTTGATTTTGGAGTAAGGTATATATTATTTATACTGTATTATGTATATTGTCAACTATGATAAATGGCAAAAAATTAATAAAAATAACAATAAAATTAAACATTAAACATTTTTTGGGCCTCAAAAAGGGATTAGAATGATTTACATTTCTTTTGTTTTTTTTAATTAATTAAAAGTTACACTCAACTCTTTTTTTGTATTTCAAAAGCTGTAACAAAAATTGTTCAACGGTTTTAATGCCATCTAATGTTAATTTGTTAAATCTAATTGTTTCAACCAATCACAAAGTTTCATCAATTAGTCACTATGTACAGCTGTTTTTGTTGGCTAATGAGAAACAATTAATAGTATGTTGACTATTTTTACTAATTGGTTTTTCTGTTTCTTTTGTTTGAGTAAATTTGTATTGATTGCGGATTGTTTAGTTACTGGTTTATTGACTTAAAGATCACCGGTTGTCTTGTAAGCTCGCCCAGATTGAAATGATCGAGCAAAAGGTCCACTAGTACATGAGGAACCACCCCCAAACGAGTGTCCACCGCCGAATCCGCTGCTGTGTCCACCGAAAGAGAACCCACCCGAATGGTGTCCAAAGGAACTTCCACCGCCTTGACTTCCACCACCACTTGAAGTGATTCGCGTTGAAAAACTCGACGAGCCACCAACACCAACGGATCCTCCACTTGAGCCACCTTCTCGCCTCTGTGAATACATATTAAGGCCTGGTATTATATGAACTCTTAAGCCCATTGGCCCGTAACTTGGCCCACGACGAGGCCCACCTCCTTTCCTTTGCCATGTTACATGAGATTTACAGCAACAGTAATAGAAAAGTTTGAAAAAAGCTTCAGCAAAGTCTCTATTGGTTGCTGCATACAGAAAACTGTAGACACATGAATGACACAGTGCTAAATACCATGTTGAATTCAGCCACTCTTGAGCCACTGGTGAATAAATATTAACAATGGAGGCGATTATTAACGGTGTCCACATGAGAAATGATGATATATAAACACAAATATTAGATTTGAGCAAATTTTCATCAGTTAACATATATGCCCAAGGATCCTCAGTTGGATGTATTTCTAGTTGTGAACGCAACCATTTAATTATGAAGAAGCAACGAGTAAAGCACAACAGAGTAATCAGTGTGGGAAGAATAAGAACACTAATTGTTATTATTAAATGATAAGTTGGATTAATTGTTGAATATGAATTGCGATCACCGGAACACACAGAAGGACCATACGCATTGACATGTTGAGTTAAAGGAAGTGCAAGACCCAGTATCCAGGTAATAAGCACTATGATCACAATTCGTAATTTTGTACAACATTTTTCATACGAAATAATTGATGTTAATCCTTTCAAATTTTCCACAGACATTAACATAAAAGATATAACTGAGATTGTTAAAGTTGAAAGAGTTACCAACCATTGGAAGTGACAAATGGACGGGTCACCCGGAATATTGGCCATTATGGCAACACACGACGCTGGAATGACCAGAATAGTGACCAATAGGTGACTTAATGCCAAACTTACAAGGTATACATTACCACGAACTTGAAAAGTGTCAATTACAACTATAGCTGAGATGACAAAAATGCCACCCATTGAACCTAATGTTGAAACAAGAGAGAGTCCAATCAATTGAAACAATCCATCCCAATTAGCATTATCATCTGGTAATACCGGTCCAGCTCCATAAGGATTTCGAGTTTTTGGATTGATTTCAAAACTATTCAAGGATGAAGCCAAATGTGAATAATGATTGGACAGTATTGATGAGGATGGGTAATAGGGATGCGAACCATTATTGAAAGTATCATTGGATTCACTTGAATTGATTGATGATATTGATGTTGAGTTAGTTTGGTTGAGGATTGACCAAAATTGTTCTTGAGTATCAAAGGATGGACTATCATTGGGATTTCCGGAATTTCCAGTGGACAGGTTGACCAGGGCAGTCATAAGTCGATGTTGATTTATCATTGTATTTCCCTCTCTTTCTTTGCTTGATTTCGCCTCTCTATATTCAATATTTTCTTTGTCTTCTTTCGGTAGGTATTTTATATCTCTTTCAATATTTTGTATTTTAATTTCGTTCTTCGTTTTTTTCAGCTAAACGAGGAAACTAATGACAGAGAACGATTGGAGAGAGAGAGAGAAGGAGAAAAAAAGAGAAGAAAGCTTTTCTCAAAGCTATTTCTTATAGACTTGAATCAACAAAATCCCTCAAGACCTGAGCTGATAATATGTCCTCGTAACCTCTATGTTTTTCCTCCTCTTTTCTGTGTCTCACTTCATCTTCACTACCTTTTTTAATACTTTCTACTTTTATTCCCTTACCTCTCTCACTCCTTCTCCCTCCCTCTGGATGATTCCTCCTTTCCTGGTTAATCTTATCTTCGTTTTCTTTCGAGATCGCTTTTTTACCTTTGTTTGTCTTCTTCTTCTTGAGATGAAGCTGCTTTTACTTGAAACCATACGATAAAATTTATTATTCTGAAGGGAGTTTCATCTGAAGGAGGATAAAGAAATTAAATGAGAGTCAAGATGAAACGAGAAGACAGATACTTTGTTTTTGACATTTGATGTGAACAAATTTTCTCCTAATTTAAATTTATTTATATTTTTTTCTCTTTCAGTCTTTGCAACTATTCAAGTTCAATTACAACAGGAAGCAATGTGGAGGGATTTTTGGGTTGACCAGAAGCTCAATGATCTGTAATCACTTTGAGAACAATGAAAGCCAAAATTGTTTACGCCTTTTGCTGAGGATGGACAATGAAGAAGACAATATAAGGTTGAAACTGGACAGAGAATTGATCAGGAATTTATCATTAAATTGATCCTAGTCTGAGTAATCTAGGATCCTTATTCCAATCAGGATCAGCGTATATAATAGATTTTTTTGTTACAATATAAGGTTGAAAATAATGATAAATGAGCTGAAAATCACCAGTAAAGGTATCAATAATAGCTGGAAACCGTCAATTGATAGGATAAAATGTCTTGAGACTTTGTTAGGTAGTTATTAATCATCAGATTGTTAGTGCAAAATGATTTTGTTTAACCAACTTGTCGACTTTTATTGTTACCAACAATGCCAATATACAACTGAGAGGAGTAACACAGAAATACCTTTTGACAACAAAATGTCAAAAGTAAACGGCGAAATGAAAAGGTTTTTAACAAGATGATGCTTTAGCTGGGAATACAATCTTTTTGGTTTCAAACTGATGGTTGATTTATGATGGTTTTATCACAATTAAGGCTTGATCAATTTTAAATACAGAAAGGCTGTGATTGAAAGATTTAAGCTTAAGACGGATTGGTGGTTATTAGAGTTTTTATTATTGCGACTCACCGTCAATGAGACTTCGGCTTTGCAGATTATTATTACTTGTTTGGAAACACTTCACAATTAAGGAAAATTAAACTTGAATCAAGTGACACATATCGAAGAACAAATTGAACTGGACCGGAGGAAACAATTTAATTTAGTTAACCATGATGGATATATCAACAGATGGCGAAAAGGTTCACCAAATAGATGGTTAAACAACACATAACCGTTGAGTTACCTTTAGTAACATTGAGTGAGGTTGGTTTGTTGATGGATATGAAGACGAGGAAATGCCTTTACCATGATAAAAATTATATGATAATAAAGCAGCATCACAATCAGGATGGTTCAATAATCATAACAATCTAAATGATGTTTAAATTCAACAAGTTGATAGGTAAATAGTTAAACTGTTGATTGGCGATGCTCAGAGTTTGGAGAGTCACCAACTACACAGATACGTACATAAATACACAATATAAACATTAATGTTGGGAGATGGAGAGAAGTTGCTCTTTTTCTGAACACATACAGGGTAACTCTTTATCTTGCTTTACAACTAATTATTTACCAAACCAATTAATGTACAATGGTAATCAAGTTTGCTTATGTCAATTGGTTGATATTACGAGTCTGACACACTGTTGAACCAATCTTTTGCTGAACACATTTAATGGTTAAACTGTGAGTTGATATTATATGGTCAAGGCAAATGTTGGAGTTGCCATTGAACAATTAACTTGTTTCTGATTTACAATAAAAAGATGGAGACTACGCTTTAATTTTTGTTTTCATTTCTGCTCACCCGTCTTCATCAAAACCTTGTTCACTCTCTTTCTTTCTTTCTCTCTCTCTTTCACTTTCTCTTCATTTCTTTCTTCTCTTTCTTCCTATCTTCTTATGTCAATTCCTCTTCTTCCCTCATTCCAACCTACCTTTTTTGCCTTGATAGCAATTTTATCAGCTCACTTTTAACTCCCTGTTATCATATCTTCTTGGTTATTTATTTATATTGATTCAGTTTCGTAATAACTTTCAACTCTGTTCATGTGCTGTTGATACATTTACCCACATTTCCATGGTAATTTACAATTCTCTTCGCGGATTTGGAACAGAATCAATTCAATCATCGTTTCAAGATGATTACTTTTATCATCACCATCATCTTCCTGGGAAAGGCTAAAATTATGTCATCTTTAACTCTTCCACGTTTTCATCTCACTTCTTCCTCTTTCCCTAATCGACGACCTGTTAGATGTTGAAGTTTAACGCATGATCTTAAATAATATTATATTAAATGATTACTCCTTGCTTAAACAATTTATTATTGTTTCTTCCTTTCCTATTTATCCTTGTGAAAGGATTAAGAATGCGACTAATTGCAGACGGAAATTACTAGGTATAAGAAGCAAATCTTGACAGTTAATGCAGGGCACGGCATACATGACGATGTAAAACAAAGCTCCTACTAATTAAATTTCTAGAAAGGTAGGTTTGAGAAAAAAAACAGAGAAAATTTGAACAGTAAAGAGTTAAATGATGAGCTATGAATTTTTCATTGAAATTAATATGAAAAATGCGAAGAAAATTCAATTCCTCGATTCCTTTTTTGCTTGTAATGCTGTTTCTTGTCTGTCGAGGTTCACCGGAGTCTAGTTGGTTCGAGATTACTGGGCACACAGAATGTTGAAGTGTAATTCATTGATAATAAAACATGAAATGAAAATTCAAACTAATTTTATTTAATTTATTGATACTTTAAGGCAAGATACTTAACCAACTAAAACTAAAAAAGATTCCGAGCTCATTCACTGGCTCCATCTTCAGGTTTTAATAGCATTCTTACTATCGTTTTTGGCGCTCAGGATGATTTTGATCAACTTTGAGTCAGTTATAATTCATGAAAGCTCAATTTGGATCATTTAATGACTTGAATAAATTAGTTTGTCGTTTTATTAAGTGTGCGATTACAAAACATCCGTATTTTATAGAATTCCTTTAGTTAAAAATGAAGTTATAAATGAAATAAATGTTAAAAGTACTGTTTGTCATGTTTGTTTTAAATGATCATTGATTTTTGCTTGACAGAACGGTTTTTTCAATCAGTTTGCTTATCTCGTCATGTGTCTTTGTATTCCTCATATCATGAGATATTTGTGTTAATCTTTCATGTAGCTTCTCATCATTGATAAGTTTTTCAATGCCATCAAGTAGTTGGTCATCAGTGAAATTAAATGTATTTATTCGGATACCCAGCTGCTTATCGACCATTCTTTGTGCATTGTCACGTTGATCATACCATATTGGCATTATTATCATTGGCTTGGCGAAGTAGAGACTTTCAATGAACGTATTGTTCCCACCATGTGTTATTACTAAATCGACATGTGGAAGGATACCAATCTGATTAACGTATCGATCACCCCACATATTGTCTGGTAAATCAATTTGTTTATGATGTGGACCTTTGGATATAATGAAACGATGAGGAGATTTGGCTAAACATCCGATAACTCTTTTCATCAAATCTAAATCAACCGATCCCATTGAGCCAAGGGAAAAGTAGATAAGCTTTCCTGGTTTATTGATTAAATTTTCTGGTACTTTGAAAGGTTCTTTATCATCGGGTTCACGGATAACGGCATCCATTCTATACCATTTATCTGGTCGAGGAGCAACATCGGTATAATCCAAAGCCTCAGGATAATTGTAAATATTCAAGTATGGGGATTCAAACAAGGCCATTGATTCGTGTTCTTTATAAGGTTCAACACCTGAATTTATCATGAATTCGTTAAGCATTTCACGAAGAGGTGCATACTTAATGGAATACAGCTTTCTATATTCTGACCACTCTTCTTTGGGACTGTAAACGGAAAAGCCAGTTCCTTCAGGTGGACACGATTCCTTGTAAACAGCAATTGGATTACAGGACCACAGTTGAATCCATGGTATTTTGGTCTTGATTAAAGTTGGAATTCGGTAAACATAATCAATAATGATCAAGTCTGGCTTAATTTGTTCAATTACTTTTTCAAATGGTTTGTCAAGCGCCATAAAGTCAGATGTGAATCCTAAATAAGTTGAAACCAGTTTTTGTTGATCAAATTGTTGCAAAGCTTCCATTGGTTCTTTCCTCAATATCTCCAGTTGTTGATTCAAGAAGTTGAGTAAAGATTCAAATGGATTTTCACTTTTATTTTCCTCTTCAACTTTATCTTTCTTCAAAGCTATGAATTGGTATCCTTTGCTTTTAATGGATGATTCCCAAGCCGGTGAAAGAGCAAATATCAACTCATGATTATGTTGTTTTAAGATTCCAGCAAGTCCAAGGACAGCATTAACATGGCCCTGACTAATCAATAGTTTATTAAATAAGATAAATTCATTGATCCAAAAGCAAAGAAATGCATTTGACTTACCCGTCCATGGCCGATAAAAGTATCTTCAAAGGTGCCATTGTAATTCGCAATAAAATCAAGTTTTATTGTAGAGGGATCACAATCAAAATAAATTTAAACAACGAGTTTCAATCACACTGACTGAATTAGGTTTTTGTTAGGGAAAATTGTAAACGTTTGCTTGCTTATCATTACATGGTTATCTGGTTAACCAGAAAATTATATGTTAATGAAGATTATCACTTTGAATTTATCACATCTCATTGTTTCGCGAGTGATCTTTTTTTAAACAATAATCTTGATCAATAAACAATCAATCGATGTATTTAATTGCTTTTTATATATTATAATCCAGAATTTGATAAAAACTTAATGAATGGGTGAGTACAAGTTTAATTATTTTTTGATACCAACTTGCTCAATGAGCTTGACAACAGTTTCATTAATCTTTGTATTTCTCATTTCATTTGATATTTTCTTTAGTTTTTCATGCAAACTTTCATCATTGATCAATTCTTCAATGGCATTTAGCAGTTGGTCATCAGCAAACTTGTATGTTGGAATCCGGATTCCCAATTTTTTGTCCACAATTCGCTGAGCATTATCATGTTGATCATAAATTAGAGGCATAACAATCATGGGTTTGGCAAAATATAGACTCTCTGTTAGTGTATTGTTACCACCATGAGTTATAACTAAATCAACATGCGGAAGAATACCAATTTGATTAACGTATCGATCACCCCACATATTGTCTGGTAAATCAATTTGTTTGTGATGTGGTCCTTTGGATACAATGAAACGATGAGGAGATTTGGCTAAACATCCGATAACTCTTTTCATCAAATCCAAATCAACCGATCCCATTGAGCCAAGGGAAAAGTAGATAAGCTTTCCTGGTTTATTGATTAAATTTTCTGGTACTTTGAAAGGCTCTTTATCATCGGGTTCACGAATAACTGCATCCATTCGATACCATTTATCTGGTCGAGGAGCAACATCGGTATAATCCAAAGCCTCAGGATAATTGTAAATATTCATGTATGGTGATTCATGCAAGTATAAAGAATCATAATCTCCATAAGGCTCAACACCTGATTTTATCATGAATTGGTTAAACTTTTCACGAAGGCGTTTATATTTTATTGAATATAACTTCCTGAATTGAGTCCATTTTTCCTTTGGAGAGTAAACTGAAAGACCAGATCCTTCAGGTGGACATAAATCTTTGTAAATAGCAACTGGATTGCAAGACCACAATTGAATCCAAGGTACTTTTGTCTTGATTAGACATGGTAATCTGACAGCAAAGTCAACTATTATAAGGTCAGGTTTGATCGAATCAATTGCCTTTTCAATGGGCTTATCACATGCCAGCATTTCAGTCGACCATCCAGCATATGACGAGATTAACTTTTCATCATCAAAGTATTCTAAACCTTCCATGGGTTCCTTTCTCAGAATCTCTAATTGGTTTTTAATAAAGTCAAGAAAACTTTCATTCGGAGCTTTATCTTCACCTTTAGTTTCATCTTCAACTTGATCAAACTGTAAACTTTCAAACTGATATCCTCTACTTTTAATTGACGATTCCCAAGCCGGTGAAAGGGCAAATATTAACTCGTGGTTATGTTGTTTAAGGATGGCAGCAAGTCCAAGGATAGCATTGACATGGCCCTGGCTAAATAGATGGATTAGTTGACAACTTCATTAATGAAAACTTCAACTAAAAACTACCCACTCATAGCTGATAAAAGTATCTTCAAGTGTCCCATTGATGGAAACTAGTGTCAAGTGTTTTAAAATTAAACTTGAATATAATAGAAGCAAAATGTAAATAAAATAATTTTTAACCTGCAAAGCAAAACAAAAACTGTAATATTGAACTCTGTTCATGAGTCCATCTTTTGCTTATTTTATTAGATACATTATTGTATTATCAATTTCGCAATTGTTATTTAACCATTGTTTGAGTTTAATCAATTGATCAGCTGAAAATCAAGTTGATAATTTTCAAATAAATCATTAAGCTGTATACTTTCAATTCTTAAGTTTTGAGTTTAACCCATTTTTCAATGTTAAGACTGCCTTTTTAACAGGCTGGATTATGATACAATGAGGAACTCTGAACAATCATTTCAGTATATAAAAATAATGGAAAATATTTAATTTATTTTAGCATTTAGTCGTTGAATTAGTTTATGAGAGTCTATCGGAATGCTATAAAGTGGAAAGCTGTCGAGGATGCAGTATTTCAAAAAGTTATAACATATGAGCTGCTTCTGGTGATATGATTCGTTATGCAATTTTTCAAAATGGGAAATTCTGCTGATGTTAATTCATTGAGGAATGAATAGCAGCATGTGCTTCATACCATGAATAATATATTAGATTGACTGCAAAATAAAATCCTGTGGAATAATTTTGCTAAACTTTTCAAAAATTTCAATAATTTTTTAGGCTATTATCCAACTCAAGGCATCAAATTGAAGTCTCATTTAACATTGAGCTGGAAAACCGTTTCATTATAACCTGTTCTTGTATTCGTTGCAATCTTATTCGTTATGTTGTTTGGTCATTGGAATGGCTTCAAACCTTTTAATTATTTTGCAATAAGTGCTAAATCATAAGCCTCATGAAATAAATCTGGAAAACTGATTGATTCTAAAAGTTCTTTTGAAGGTCTAGCCATCACGACACTGAGCGACGGAAGACTTGATAAAACTCTAATGAATACTCTCTTATATGCTTTACAGAAGATTTCATCAGGAAAACCAATCCAAATTTCTCCTGGAATTGGTTTGATGAAGATACATGCAAGATTTTCAAAACCATTTTTAATGATCTCTATGAAATGGACTTGTGAGCGAGTCGGAACGTTCAGCACAAGACAGTGTATGTCAAGTTCTGGCGTTAAACACCAAGGAATTTCTTGTTTATATCGATTCATTCTCTCTTCAACTTCTCGTCTGTTCGATGGCGGTTCTAAAGGTTCTAAACCACGTGAACGCATTTTCGCACAAGCATCTGCAAAATCAGGTAAAGAATCAAACTGAACACAGTAAAAATTTCCATGAAACATGACTTTTTTCGCTCCTGAAAAAATACTGTCCGACGAGAATAAGATTTGACTTCTGATTCGGCACTCGTTCTTACTGATCTCTCAAATGCGTTAGACTCAATGTCAGCACTCAGACAGATGCTCGAAGCAGGAGCAATACTGGAGCTTGGCTCTTGATTATTTGCCTGCATAGTCCTTTCTGGTTTAATAATAGCTATGTTTGAATTATCTGCTCCAGAATCTGAACTAGTTTGATTTGGAACTTTTAGTTCACATGATTCAACGGTGTATGGATTTTCATGGCATTTTAAAGTCAGGTCAATAGGTGGTTCACAAATCATTGCATCCGGATACATTATTTGAACTTTTGTCAAACAATCTTGTGCATCAGATTTGAACGAGTGGACAATCCAAAAATATGGTTTCCTTGACAAAATACATTGACTTCCTAATTTTGTAGTACAAGCGATACAAAATTTAATAATTTTCCTATTATCTGCTTCATTAGAATTACTCATTTTGATGAATGTTAATTGTTTCACTTCCTTATTTCTTTTAGTCTGCACAATCATATTAGGCTTTACACATCTAAAAATTTCTATCAGAGGTGAGTCTGATATCAATTCAACCTTTAGAAAGTGTCCATGAAATCGAGATCCATTTAATTGTTCAATGGCCCTTTCCGCATTCCACAAAGTAGGGAATCCGATACAGATTAAATTACCGTAAAGAATGGCACTGTTTCGACTACTTCCGATGGCCTGAGCATTCAATTCATTCATCACTTGTCTGACATTGATTGATGCAGGGTAGTTTTTGACTGAAATGAAATACATGGATGATCCAGTTGATTTAATTGGCTTTAGCACACCATTATTTAACAGGAATGTGTAGTCAGATATTTCTTCAAGTTTAGGTGAAAATGAATTAGCTAATCTAATAAGATGAATTGAGACATTATGAAGCTTCTTTAGATCACTCAAAGTACCATAATAATCAGCATCTCCACTTAATAATATAATTGTACAATCTTGTCCAGCAACTGCAACAAATTTCCTCATCAAATCCAATATTTTAATATCAGCGGAATCCTTAACTCCATTATAAGCTTGGACAATATCAACATCCAGTTTTGTCAATGACTGACCAACACTTTTAGGTAGTCTATGAACATCACAGGTACAAAAGAAAAAGATTTCATTTAAATTGTAAGGTTTAATTATAGTTGATCTAATTAGATTGACGATGGAAGTAACTGATTGTCCTTTTGGTACATCGATATTCTCAATGTCCCAAAACACAGCACAAGGTTTACCCATTATTATACAATATATTATGAAACAATTTATTTAAGCTCAAATGTTCAAAAGGAAATAATGAAGTCAAAGAAAAATTAATGTATAACACAAAGGCAATGAAACTAACTGAACGATTCAGAGCGTCATTAGTTTAGCAATACGTAAAATCATGTGAGAATTTAAACGCAATTAAAACAGCAATTGAGTGTTGAAAACTTCTGTGTGTGAAAATTTCAAACAGGTGTGATTATATCTAAGCTTCATCTGAATTATATGAAGCATATATCAAATAATCAGCAAACCTAACAGTTACCTAGCAAAAATTTATAGACATTAATTGAGATTGTGAGGGAATATAAAAAAGAGCTACGCTCAATGGTTTCGACCCACTTTTTTACTTTAGATTGAATTTTCTCATTTTATTGACAAGTTAGTGAAACTGATATTTCAACCTTCAAGATCAAACTAACTCACAATATTGTCATTTAATTAGAAATATCGACTGGTCGACATTCCAACTGCTTTTCTGTAGTTTTAATTCAAGTGACCTAATGGCACAGCATCAGCATATGCATTCTTGGCAAGCGTTTTTGTTGGATTAATCAATTTGCCAGCACTTTAACTACTTTTGAATCCGAGACTGATTTCGCTACAGCTACAACATCAAAATCATTTTCGTTTAACAGTTTAAAAATCTGTTCCATTTTAGCTTTTGATCTGTTTCTTTGTTTCCTGTGTTCAAGATGAATTAGATAAATTCTGATACAACATTGATCTTGAGATTCTTAAGTTTAATCATATTATCGGGTTCATAGTCCCAAGATGTCTGTATCGCATTTTATTGCTAGCTTTATGATGCTTCATAAGGTGGTGCATTTATCATGAATTGCCTTTGTAGTTATTTGAGGAAATATGAAAAAAACGAAGAAGATTTATTCTAAATATAAATTAGTATTGAAGAAAAGTCCACTTCCAATAAATTTGCAATCACCTGAATATGTTCATTTGGTATTTATGTGTTTTTCCAGAGTTAATTATAAGTATTTTGTTTATAACAAAAGTATTGGTGTGATGAGTTCAATATCGAACCGACTCATATGATTGACAATATCGACTGATTGACATTCCAACTGCTTTTCTGTAATTATAATTGAAGTGTCCTAATGGCACAGCTTGAGTAAGCAAAGGTACATTGGCTACAGGCGCTTCTGTTGTCTTTATCAATTTATTTGCCAGCATTTTAGCAATTTTTGTTGGAATACTTGGGACTAGTTGCATTACAATTCCAACATCAAAATCATTTTCATCCTTTTCATGTAACATTTTGAAATTTAAATAACGAAATCGAGCCTTAACTTTGTTTCCTTTCTCTAAATCATCAACTCCAACCCAAATTTTATCTTGAAACTCAATGCAAGCTGGACATTCCATTTGTACCAAATTCATCTTGATTATTGAGATCATTTCAGATGTAAACTTGAATCCAGAGTTAGTTGATATAGTGAATAAATATTGTAGCTTCTTTATCATTTCCCTATCTAATACATCAATATCTGCTGGCGATTGAACTGTAGATGAATTTGAATCTAGTTTTTCCACTGGATTTTTGTTTTGTACAATCTTCTCGAGAACCTTTCGTTGGTCGTTGATGATGTAGTACTCCAAGAAGTCATAACAAGTGACCTGCTGCCTTTTGACTTCACTTGCTTTGTGCAGCTCTTTAAAATAGGGAACTTCTGCTAATGTCAATTTATCGAGGAAATGACGAGACGCATGTGCTTCATACCATGAATTATATATTAGATTGACTGCAAAATACGAAGCTGTGGCAGCAAGAGGAATAACTTTGCTAAACTTGACAAAAATTTTAACAGTAATGTGGAAAAGCGCTTCATTAAATTTTTGTCCTTGCATTTGTTTAAGACTCATTTGTTGTATGATGCGTGGTCTTGTGATTGGTTTTGAACTTTCTAGTTGACTCGAAAGAAATGCTAAATCATAAGCATCGCCAACTAAATCTGGAAAATTGATTGATTCCAAAAGTTCGTTTGAAGGTTTAGCCATTGAGACATTGGTTTGCGGAAGGTCTGCTAAAAGTCTGATAACTGTTTTCTTAGAATTTTTACAGATAAGTTCATCAGGAAAACCAATCCAAATCTCTCCTGGAACTGATTTTATGAAAATACATTCACGATTTCCTAAAATATTCTTGCACATTTCTATGAATTCGTTGTGAAGTTTAGACTCAATTTTCACCACAAGACAACATAAGTCAAGTTCTTGATTCAAACACCAAGGAGTTCCAGTTATATATCGATCCATTTTCTTTGTAACTTCATGTCTATGTGTTTTTGAAACGTTCACGACTTCTAAATGTTCTAAATAACGTGAGCGCTTTTCTGTAAAAGCTTCTTGG